TTCAACGTCCCCGCCTGAACCGGAAACTCATACGGCGAGAATAAAACCGCCACAACCCACGCATTCCATACAACAGCCACAATCTGGAAGGGTACCCTCCACCGTCCAAGCGACCACTTCGCCTCCAGCTTCTGTTTCCGGGTGAGCGTCAACCGACCGAGACTGATGAGCCCGTACGCCGCAGCGGAGGGAACGCCCGCGGCAGAGACCAGGGAGGTGAACGCCACGGCGGACGGGAGAATCGTGCAGGTGATGAGGGCGGAGACGCCCCATACCACCAGGATGGCGTTGCGGGGCTGGCCCTCCTCGGACACGCGGGAGGTCCACGTGGAGAAGGGGAGGACGCCGTCGCGGGCGACCGCGAAGACGAGGCGCGAGGCGGCCGTGATGGCGATGGCGGTGTTGAGCCATAGCGCTGTCACGGAGAGCACGTTCATGACGATGTGGCCGCCGCGGCCGAGGACGACGGCGTAGAGTGGGACGAAGGGTTGCGGGGCGTCGTAGGAGAAGAGGATGTCGATTGGGGGCTGATGGGGGGTAAAAGGTTAGCTGAGGGTTCCTCTGGAATAATTGGGGACTCGTGTGGCTGACGTACGGATGTGAAGAGGAACAGAATGACGGCTGTGAAGCCTAGCACGCCGCTGATGACCGTGCTCCAGAAGATACCCTTCGCTGCGTTGAGGGACGCGTTCTTCGTCTCTTCCGCGACATGACCTGAGGCATCGAATCCGATGAGAATCCCGGCGGTTGCGAGGTACGAGAGACACCAGTTCCATCCGGCTGGCGCACCGGTGCCGTTATATGTGGTCATAAAAGCTTCGTGGGCGGTTCGGAGGCCGTAGGTATTGTGGGCGCCCACCGGGAGCCAGATGAGATTTAGGATGAAGTCCAGGAACACGGCGCCTGTCGATAGCCAGAAGACGTATCGAAATATCCGGGCTGAGGGTTATTAGTTCTCCAATCTGTCGCCTAGTCGGTGACTTACGTGAGGCAAGGTTGATCCACGCTGCCAATGCTAACATCACTTCCGTGCAGATCCATTGCAGCGCACGGAACTTGATGTTCCCTGTGTCGGTGGGAAAGTCGACTTCAAAGACGGTCAATTCCTATTGATTGTCAGGTTGCATGATCCGGAATATATTCAAAAGTGTCGAACTCACAGATAGCATATAGTTGACAGTGGACTGGGTGTTGCCTGCATCTGTCAGCGCGATCGAGTGAACCTTGTGACGATACATACTGGCACAGAACGTCGTCCAGGCGGTCGTACTCCACCAAGCGACGATAAATCCGAACAAGCGCCCGAACCGACGCCCTCCAGCCTCCGCAGCCCAGAGGTAGATTGAACCTGCTGTTGGGGCTGCGGAGCAAACCTCTGCAATGACGGCTGCAGTGATGAAGGTGAACACACAAGTCACGATATAACTCGTCCTGAAATTGTTTCAGCACGGAATCATGAGTCGAGGAATACGAAACACACCAGTAGGCGAGAGGCCCCCCTGCCGCGATGCCAGTGGATAACGTGACGCGAACGCCGCCGACAAAGTACAAGGCCGCTACAAAGTTCTAAGTCAATTTCTGCCCTCCGTGACCAGGCAGTGACACTCACCGAATGAGGTGGAGAAGTTCTCGAAGAGTGAGTAGCTTCGATGGAGAACCTGGAACTGTCAACACCAGCCATCTTTGGCGTTCTTCGTCTACTACCTGTTTGTATCCGAGGCGCTCCTATGATTCATGAGTATGATGATCCTGGCTGACAACTTATGGTGAACAACTAACCAGCGCAACCTCATCGCTTTTATTCGTCTCAACGACCGTCGAGGTCGAATCACTCTTGGACGTCATGGCTCAATGTTGCGCTCGTTTTGGTCCCCTAGAAAATCGAAATGAAATTTTGGCACTGGCAGAGCCTGCAGACACGCCTCGTATTAAACATCGGACCCTTGTTGGCCAGCCGGTCATCACGACCTAAAACGTGCATTAGACCGAACCAACGGGCTGGATCACGCCTTTTTGCCCCGCTTTATTCCACGTGGATGACGCCTTATATGCATGCTGAGTCGTGAAGGTCAATTTTTGTGTGGTCTATTGCGCCATTGTGTGACAAGCCGAGGTGATGAAGTGACATTGCGGGTGCGGATGACGCGATCTCCGTGCGGGACCCAGAAGCCTAACTACTCACGTATCGGACAGAATCCCTGAATTACATGCGGTGAAGAATCCTGTTTTGCACAGTCCATGATGGGTATACACAATTCTCGGGATCCGCGGCCGGGGTTGACATATATTATCTGTTGCACGGGTCGGGAGAACAGGTGCAAGCAAGATACAACATGGACTTGATCATATCGATTGCTTTGGTAGCGTTAGCTGCGACTATCGCTTGGGTGAGTACAGGCCATCAACAAATCCCAGGCTGATTTATTTGACTGATTCTTAAGCTCGTATACACTTACTTCCTCTCCCCTTTGGCCTCCATCCCTAATGCAGGAATTCTGGCTCCCGTCTCCCGTCTACTCTGGGAGTTTCCCACCGAGTATCAAGGCAAAATCACGCTGGAGTTACCCAAACTTCACCAAAGGCTTGGTACGACTGCCATACCAAGACTGGAAACCCATCTGACTCCGTGGAACCATACTTAGGTCCCCTCGTCCGGATCGGGCCCAACCAGATCTCATTCTACTCCCTGGATATCTACAAGACAGTGCATGCACCGAATAGCCCGTTCGTCAAAGACCCTCGCGTCTATAACCAATTCGTCCAGGATGGCCGCCCTGCGCTGTTTTCGATCACGTAAGGTCTCCGACGATATCTGCGTGATTCGTCAGCTGACTCGCAAATACGACGAAGTGACACGAAGGAACATGCCCAGCGTCGACGTCACATGGGTATCCTTTTCAATCGTAGCAAGGTTCCCGCGTTGACCGAGATGATGCTGGAGCAGATCGATAAGTGGATCGTGTGTTTGAGTCTGGCCAAGATAAAAGGGCCTATTGATCTCGGACCGTCTTGTCGCGCCTTAGAGTCAGATATTGTTTGTGCGTGTTCGCGATACTACTTCTCAGCATTAGCTAACGCTAGTACGTAGCATCATTTGCTTTTGGGAATGCCATTGGGGGAATTGACTCTCTTCAAAACGGAGGTGAGCTTGCGGTCATTAAGGAAAATGATCTCAAGTCCTCGAAGATGCCAGTGGTATGTAGCGACGGCAGGATCCAACTCCTCCACTGCTAATGCCATCATATCCAGTATATGAACTTCCCGCTTGCTGTTGGTCTATGGCACTCGGTCGCAGCCTGGATTTACCGACTCTCCGGCTGGGAGGTATCCTCGGTGATTAGCTCGCAGCGCTTCGACAAGGCATATCCTCCTTCATGAACAAGGTACCGTGCATGGTCACTAACGGAAGACAGTGGGCCGATTCCCAACTCATCGCAACGAAAGACAGTGAGAAGGCGCCCCGTCTATCCTTCCTGAAAGTCATGGCCGGGGCCAGAGTGTCCGAGCAGTCCGCACTCTCGGAAGCCAAGGAGATGCTCGGTCCCGGCACCGATACAACGTCCGCTACACTGGCTCACATCATATACGCACTGTCGCTCAACCAATCCTTCCAAGCGGGGCTAGTGGCCGAGCTGGACGCTTCCGGATGGCCCAGCGATATGTCCGTCCTGGAAGCCATCCCCTGCTTGGTAGCCTGCGTCAAAGAGGGAATCAGATGGACCGGGGCCGCCGCCGCAATGCTTCCGCGCATTGTGCCGCGCGGGGGATCTTCGCTGGTGGGGAAGTATCTTCCGGAAGGGGTAAGTCCACCAGGATCAATATTTTCTTCACGCTGAAACTTCCAACTAATGCACCAACACTAGACGATGATCTCCAGTTCCCCGATCTGGTATCTCCGCGACGAGACCGCATTCCCGGACCCCGAACGTTATAGGCCTGGCCGGTGGCTCGTCCAGGAAAAGAACGACACGACGTCGCGGCGAGATGACTACTACATCCCGTTCTCCAAGGGCGCGTCTACGTGTATCGGCAATCAGTAGGTATCTTCCATGCATCACATGAGGGGAAAAGAGAATAACCTTTCGCTGGCACAGCTTTGCATACCTCGAGCTATACCTGTCCCTCTCGCGGCTGCTCAAGCGATACTCCATCCACCCGGCAGATCTGCCCGGTGCTAATGCTTCGGATCACGAAGCTGTCCTTCCACCGCGACGGGAGTGGGTTGCTGCTGTGCCGATGAATCGGCTAGAGGTGGTTCTACAGGAAAGGTCATAGCAGGTACCTATTCAGCTCTATGTGTGGTAGTTACGCGAGTCAGAACCCTCTCATAGTCCCCAAATCTGCACATAGTATCGTCCTGCTATGCTTGTGACTACCGCCGCCTCGCTGGCACAAAATGGATCGGCACGGATGGAATCATCAACCGATTAGGATTTACTAGTCCAATAAACTAAACTCTGCTCTCTGCTATATATACCAAGGCAATCAAAGTTCTCAATTCAATCTGCAGAGGGATATCGTAGCCCCCTGCAGGGATTCCATTCCACCAGACCACCTTCTATTGCTTGACTATTTGACATCTGTCTGATTACGATCGCAGCCCCGGCAGTCAAGATAATAACGAAGATTGTGGGGAAGCTTTATGATTGAAGTTCATCCAAAAGAGACAAGAATGGATTCATGCGGGTTTATCACGTAGGCTATATGGAACGATTTTTGAATTCTCGATGGTCAAAATATCGGAGTTCTCAAGGTGAATCGCCTCGGATCACGTGGGCTGGATCACTCCGGAACGCTGACACGCCCCCCTCCCTCCCTCTAAATCTACGCCGCGGCCGTAGCCTATATAATAAAAATATATATGAACTGCTGCAGATAATTCTGCTTACTTTTTTTAGAAAAGACAATAAGTATAAGAACGAGCGGAATCGACCATTTAAGCTAGGAGTGAAGAATGAGGTAACGAGTATAAGAACCAATTTGAGCTGTCCATCTCGACAGGGATTATCTCTTAAATATATGCCATCCTACCTGTAAAAACTTCTCATTGAATCTTCTCTCTTCAAATTATGGCTGCTGCAGTATCGGTTAGCTGGATATCGAGAGGGAAGCAAAAAAGAAGGTTCAGGTGATCTGACCCGAAGAGAGGTGGGCTTTTCTCCCCCCGATCCGCGCACAAATTACTAGGTAGTCAAGAGCGGTAGTAGTTGGTTTGAGAGCAGATCGAGTCGAGCTCACTTCTCTGCCATCTTAGTATTGGAAATGGGTGCAGGTATCTTGCATTTCGACACGAGTGATACAATATGAACTCTGACGAGCGAAGACGGCCAGAACTGTGGACTGTGAGCTAATCACCGAACAATGTGAGCCTGGGATATGGAAACTCGGGTATTGAGAAGCATAGGGATACATGTCTATACGCACATGAAGAGGTTGTTACTGTCTGTCAAAAGACTGATGACAGAAGGTCTGGATGCAGGATGACAGAGGGAGTGGGTGGAATGGGAGAGAACGGGGAGATACAGTGGACAGATGAAGAGTGCCAGTGTGCACTCATTCATCGGACTCGGGGCCTAGCGCCAAAGCTCACAAGCAATTTACTAGGTAGTATGGATCATGTAAGTTCTATGCCGGAATACTCCAATGTCAGTGCTCAGGCTTTACTAAGTAGCTCACACGCTCACACTGCGCAGCTGACAAATCATTACTAATAGCTACCGTCATCTGGAGAGGCTAACGGTTTCATATGATATAGAGTCCAGCTTTGATACGGAATAAATCAGTTTCATCATCTATTCCACCTGAATTCCACTTAAGTATGGCTACCGATACTCCAGCAACTGCTCGACAATGGTCCGTCATGGGCCAGGATGGGATCGAATCCCTGATATATGGCGAAGTCCCAGTACCAGCGTTACGCGAGCACGAGGTTCTTGTTCAGAGTGCGTCAGTGAGCTCCTTTACCTGCCTCCATCAACTAATGCAGTCATAGTCCGAGGTGCCTCTCTCAATGTACGTTCCCGAGCCTATACCCCTGCGCGCGGCTCGCTGAGAATGATAGCCCCGTGATGTGATGATCAGTCGCGGGAACTACCCCTGGACCGTCAAGCCGGGCGTTGTGCCTGGATCGGATGGCGCGGGCGTTGTCTTATCCGTCGGCAAGAACGTGACTCGGTTCCAGCCTGGAGATAGAGTGATTACCATGCTCAATCGAAAGCACATCACCGGCTCTTTGAACGCGGAAATCGCGCAGTATGGCACAGGTGCCTCGGTTGACGGTGTCTTTCGTTCAGCTGGCGCCTTCGACGAGCAAGCATTGGTTGCGATGCCGGATGGCTTAAGCTTTGTTCAAGCTGCCACGCTGAGCTGTGCGGGGCTGACGGCTTGGAATGCGCTGTTTGGGCTACCTGGGAAGCAGGTTACGGCGGGACAATGGGTTCTAGTTCAAGGCACAGGTTCAGCTACTACCCTCCATCGTCCGATGCTGTCATATTCTGACACTCACTGGCATAGGCGGCGTCAGCCTTTTTGCGCTCCAGTTCGCGAGATCCATTGGTGCCAGGATCATCGCAACCACCAGCTCTCCCGATAAAGTCGAATTCCTCCGCGAGCTCGGCGCCGATCATGTCATCAACTATCAAACAACCCCAAAGTGGGGAGCCTTGGCTAAAGAACTGACAGGTGGTTGCGGAGTGGACCTCGTCGTCGACATCGCCGGCCCAACCACCTTGAGGGAGAGCGCAGCATGCGTCAAGCTGGACGGTACAATCGCGGTGGTCGGGATCGCTGGTGGCAGGCCGGAAGGGCAGGAGATGCCCAGTTTGCTCGAGGCCTGGCTGAATCTGTATACTGCGCGTGGGGTTTGGGTTGGTAGTCGGGTGCAGATGGAGGAAATGTGCCGTTGGATCCACGCACACCCTGACTTCCGGCCTGTTCTCAATTCCAAGGCCTTCACGCTTAGCCAGCTAAAGGAGGCCTACGAGTATGTGGCTTCCGGGAAGAGTCTGGGGAAAGTGTATGTGGAGGTTGACTGAGACCAGCGATGCTTTATATTGTGAAGGTAGAATGATAGGTCAATTAAGTATGGTTATGCGCTTCTACAGTACCTACGCCTCATAGGATTCACAGCTTACTGAATTACCTTATCACGACTTCAATTCGTGCTCAGCAGGCAAGCAGGAGTGGAAGGTGGGGAGATGGAGCAATGGGGGAATTCCTTCCCCAGCATCAGTGCTCACACTGCGCTTGCCTTCCATTCACCAGTGCTGGTTCCTTCCTCCACTGCCCAGCAACAACGGCTGTTTACCTACTTTATCTACTTCTTCTCCCTCCACTCTCCCCTTCTCTTCTTTTCTTCTTCTCCTCCCCATACCGCTTGATTCTCTTGATGCTAGTATCGTTTCTAACGCTCTACGATCTTCAAGATGTTCTCTCGTGCGTTCTCCCGTGTTCCCCTGCTCTCTTCCTTTGTTTCTTCTTCTTCTTCTTCGCCGAAGGAGGGTCCGGTACACCCTTCTGAAGCAGCCACTCCTTCTGTTTCCTTTTTGCAGCCTGTGACTCGTGTTTTCTCTGCTTGTTCGTCCTTCTTTTTGCCTGTGCGTTCTCTCGAAGGCGCGTCCCCTCGTTCGATCCTGGTGAAGCCTGTGGACGGCGACGTCCGCAAGGTGAAGCCGAAGAAGAAGGTCTCGTGGGCGGAGACCAACACTGTCACTACCGTTTCTCGATGGCTCGTTCCTGGCGTTAACGTCTGGAGTGATGAGGATCTGACCGATCCGTCCATTCGTGAATTTGATATGGTGAGTACTCGTCCGAGTACTCCCGTCCGCTCATTTAACCCTCATGCTTTGGGGGCTCTGGCCTTGCTTGGTCTCTGTGTCTTTCCTTTGATCACGATGTACATCGAGTCAATCTTTTGATTTGTTTGATATCTGGTTTTGGTTGTTTTTGTCCGACCTGGTCACTCCTTTGGTTCTATCGTTGGCAACGTCTTGTTTTCTGTTTATATGTGGCTTTTCTTGTCCGACCTGGTCACTCCTTACCACTTTCTGCTTTTCTTTCTCCTGTCCGACCTGGTCATTCCTTTGAGTCTATGGTTGCCAATGTCTTGTTTTTTGGTTAATATGTGGCTTTACTGTCCGACCTAGTCACTCCTTTGCCACTTTTTGTTTTTGTTCTCTGTCCGACCTGGTCATTCCTTTGAGTCTCAGGCTGCTTTTGTCTTGTTTTCTGTTTATATGTGGCTTACCCCTGTCCGACCTGGTCACTCCTTGCCACTTTTTTTCCTTTCCCCCCACACTCCTTTGGGCCTGGTTGTACCGGAACCAGGTCGGTTATTGCTTACTGAACAGCAGATCGAACGGCCCGCGGCGATACCCCCCCGAGACGCGGTACCGGACGCCTGTGTTGGATAGATACTTTCGAAAATCTAGTATGTGCTACTATGTTTGCAAGCGAGCACAGCTCACCATGTGTTGCAGCTTGGATGACGTCTATCCCACCGAGAGGCGACGCTTGTGTTGGATAGATATTTCCGAAAATCTGGTATGTATCACTACTCTTGCTAGCGGACACAGCTAATCATATGCTGCAGCTTGGATGACAGATGATCCTACCGCAAGGCGACGGTGTTTTTGGATTACGAGTTTGAGGCTTGGGTGTGTAATACTGTCTTCTTTGGCTTTCGAACTGCAATTGACCTGTCCTCGAAAAACAGATTGTATCAAGTTGGACTGTACGAGGTTTCCTTTGTCTTTTCCTTTCGTCTGGGATAAATTGGGGCGTTCTTGCTTATTATTTACTGCGTTGTGCTTCTACCTTTGTCCGACCTGGTCATTCTTTTCAGTATGGATTTTAAATTTCTTCTCTGGTTGTATATAGTTATACTTCTGTCCGACCTGGCCATTCCTTACTGCGCTGCCTGCAATATACATGTGGCCTGCTTCGATGCTACTGCAACGTTCCGTTGAATATTAGTAGTTTGTTCATGACTTGAAACGAAGACAAGTGTAAGAAGACTTCAAGCTCGACAGTCAAGTCGTCCCTCACTGGCAGAACTACTCTAGCTCTTACTCCCAGTGCTAAAGCTGTATCATGTGTACCTAGTGAACTGGGCTAGTTAGGAAGGGCTTACCTGCTAGCTTACCCGCTAGTTTACCCAGACGACCAGATCGCCGCCCGTGTGTTTCCGGCTTGTATTTGTACTGTACAAGATCCTTTCGCCTGCTTGGAGAGTAGTCAAAACCAAGCCCAGATGCTTTTTCAGCTCTAGGAGTTACTAGATTCTAGTTTTAAGAATGAGTTCTTGTTGACTACAGAATCTAGTATCGTGGCAGGGTACAAAGGGGTGAGTAGGGCATTACGAAGAGAAAACAAAAGTACTCCAGCAGCGGAGATAAAGCAACCACGGAACAGGTTCCGTAAGTCTTCAGTGTTCAATCCAAGGGCTGGCTAGGTATATATCAAGTAGAATGTGCAGATAGTACATACGACCACAGGGTGTGGAAAACAGGGCTTCCCGTCCGCTCAGCCGTACTTAAGCCACACGCCGGGAGGTTAGTAGTTGGGTGGGTGACCACCAGCGAATCCCTTCTGTTGTATGTTTTTCTTTCCTTTTTATCCTTTTGCCTGCCTGGCCCTTTGCCCTTCTTTGAGCTCTAATTTTTCAGGTGCATGCCTGGCCACGCACTGAAGTGGTTTTGCTTTTGTTTTCAATTCATCCAATTGAGTACCTACCTAGTATAAGTAGGGTAGCGGTACGATACATGACCGCGCAGTAACCGGGCACTTTAATACCAGCCGATTGGGCTTCGGCCGCTCTGCGCCTACTCCTAGGCATTCAGGCCGATTGGGCAAGTGGCACTACACGGATACAGGGCATGTTATTATCTCTACAGTTACCATGCTCAGTGACTAAGGCCATCCATGTTCCAGATCTGAACCGGTCAATATGAAGATCATTTGTCTTCACCCTTGGTACAGTCACAAGCTCCCATCCACCACGACAACGGGATATGCATCCGCTAAGTCTTTGGTTCTAGGGGAGCATCTGCCGAGATCTTCGAGAGACAATTGTCCTTTCTCTGCGCCTTGATCGGCGAGTCCCATGAATATGTCTTCCTCGATGGCCCGGTTTCGTGTGGGCCCGCGAACGGTGTGTCGTCAGCTCCCATTCACTGCGTCTAAAGTTGATAGTCCATGGCTTACTGATGGGCTGACGATCCCATATGCTACACAGGCATTCCTCCCGATATGCCGGGTCCCTTCTACAACTGGTATGATGGGCTGTCCTCCTCACAAGTGAAAGAAGCGCACGACCTTGTGATGGATGTCATCGAAGCCGAAGGCCCTTTTGATGGAGTCATTGGCTTCAGTCAAGGAGCGTCCCTCGCCCTGTCCATTCTCTATCATCATGAGATAATCCATCCCCACCGACCCCCACCATTTCGCTTTGCGGTGCTTTTCTGTGCAGTCCTGTCCATCTCTCCGGATCCGATGTTCAACAAGGACCTCATCGGCAAATATGCCCGGTATTACAAACAGGCGAAGCAGGACAAAAGGGAAAGCGATGAGAAGAAGGACGATGATCCGCCGACAACGGGGGAGCCGTTTGAGCTTGGTCTCTTCCACCCGCAGGATGAGAGCGCCACACACAAGAAAGCATCGAGACTCAAGAACCACCACCACCACCACCACCGGGCAATGCTGCTGTTACCGGGCCAAAAAGCTGCCCTGGTCCGAGAGCTTGTCACGCTCGTTCGCCAGCTCGCGGAACATGGAGGTGACCACAACCATGCCGCGCGGACGCAGTGGAATACGCGCGGTGGGGGGGAAAGGGTTCCCGCGGGTTTATCATCCTCTTATGAACACGCAGCGGATCTCCATCCCGACCGTTCATATCATCGGCCGGTCGGACCCGCTGCGACGCCATGGGGAGTTGCAGGCAAGGCTTTGCAGCAAGAATCTGACCCGGGTCGTGGAATTCGAGGGCGCTCATAAAGTGCCTCACAAGGGGAATGACTTGCAGGCGGTGCTTAGAGCTGTGGAATGGGCTATGCGAATGGCACAGATGCGTTGATGAGGTCGGATGGCAGGTAAAGGGAGGTAGGTGGGTTTACTTGCGCAGCTTTGACATTTCAACGCGCTGTACCCTTGTCTTCTACCAAGATCAGATTTATCAAAACCAATTTACTAGTCGTACTAGATGCTGAGTTGCTGATCTAGTAAGAGGTCACTGGAGTCAATACATACTGAGTTCTACCATGTCTCCGCTACTATCAATGCAGCTACCCAGTAATTACCCAGAGAGTATTCAAAGCGTACTCACACTCCCGATAAAGCTACCAATAGACACCTATCACTGCAGTACAAAGGCGGCCATCCGCTCCAACCAAACTTCTAAATTCATGATGCTCCACAAACCATATCTAGGAAAAGGACGCAATCGCATTGAAGTACGCGACATCAATCTCAGCGATTTCCGAGGCGATGGTAGCCTTGTCTGCCGTGGTGACCTTCACCTGAGCCTCAGTGGAAAGTTTATTGGTGAGGTTCTGAAGCGAGTGAAGGTCTGCCAACACAATGCTGACCACTCCGGCAGAGGTGAAGCCAGGCTTCTATTTCCATCGGTGAGTTTTGCTGCCATTTTACATCTTCGGACAAACACAAAGGAGAAAAAGAGATAGCAGACGCGTAGGTGAGTGAAATATACCTGGTCAACCAATTTGCCTAGGATACCGACAATTTCAGGTTCAAGGCCAACCAGAGAGGTTGTGACGCTGGCACTATCCCCCGTCGCATATGTGTTCGAGGCGACCACGTCGGTGATGGCTTGATTCAAGCCGTTTTCTAGGGCGATCTCAGCGTATTGAACAGTCACAGCTCCGGTGAGGGTGCCGTCGAAGCTATCGAGGGTGGTGCTGAGGGCGTTGATGTCGGTTCCGATTCCGTGGAGTTCGCTCAAGACAGTGCCTGCATCGCGTCTGTGGAGAGGCGTTGCCAGAGCACTGGTAGCGAGAAGCAGAACAGAGAGTTGTCTTGCGATCATTGCGGTTCGTGCGTGCTGGGCGTGTTGCTTTGGACTTTAACGGCTTGTAGTATTCCTGAACTGTGTTCTCTTCTTCCTTTTATCTGATAGGTGCTGGGGATGTAGCCCAATGTTCCAGTAGAAAGAAGATATAAATACTTTCCCTCGTCGTCATTCTAAAACAAATGTTACTGTTGTATAGTCAATGGCACACATACCCAATCAAGATCGACCAAGGCGTATCCAGGCACCATCCATGATTTCGCATTACAGTGGACCTGCAGCCCTGAGCAGTGTTCACGGTCACTTCAGGGAACTCGTGTCTGACTGGATGCACTAGCAGGGGGTTCGAGCCGTAGCCGAAAACAGGCCGAAGAAACTCACCGGTTGGTGTTTTGCGCGGCAATTGTTGCCTCACAACACCACGCTAGCAGGGGGAGGGATGGTGAGGAAACCGAGCACTCACAGCTGGGCTGAGATCGCCTTTAGGCACCGAATAATCTCTCTCAGAATGTCACCTAAGCTGTCAACCTTCATATCTTCTGGACAGAGCGTTCCAGCACTCTACATGCACCCTGGAAGTCACGACAATTCCTTCTCATTATCATGCGTTCCCAAGTGGCCACTACCGTCAGTGAAGAGGGGGCTTCCTCCTTTGAGATACCACGACCTACAATTGCAACATGGAGACTGGTAGTCATTCTTCTTTGGTAAGACAAGGTGATCCACGTCTAAGCTGTGAGTGATAGAAAGGACTGACCACGAGCCTCTCCAGCATTGCCATGGGGCTTTTCTTGTCTCTGATGGATACGACCATTGTTTCAACCATGCTGTATACAATCTCTGACGAGTTCGATGGGTTCAAAACCTGCTCCTGGGTTGTCCTCGCCTATACACTCTCCTATGTCGGTAAATATCTCAAGCTTTCCGCGGTAAGATAGTATCTATCATCATTGACTGTGAGTCTAGGCTGTGCTGTCTTCATGGCGAGGCTATCTGATGTCCTCGGCCGAAAATTTCTTTTGTGCATCTGCTTCCTGGTGTTTCTCAGCGCGTCGATGGGATGCGCGGCGTCAAAAAGTATGAACCAGCTCGTTGGCTTCCGCGCGATGCAGGGAATTGGAGGATCGGGGCTCTACGCAATGGCCATGATTATATACCCGGAGATCAGCCCGCCGGCCCTGCTGCCGGCAATTTCTGCTATCATCGGCGTGATCCTGGCCCTTGCGGGGATCAGTGGGCCGCTCATTGGGGGTGCCCTCACGAGCTATCGCACCTGGCGGTGGGGATTTTGGATTAAGTACGCGCTGCTCTTCTACCTAGGATCATGATACATGACGATGAAGCACATCTGATCTTCTCTCTTCAGTGGCCCTTGTGCCTTCGTTCCGCTTGTCGCCCTGCTTATCGTGTGGCCCAACGATTTCCACTACGCCAGAAATGTCCGGTTCAGGCACCTGGACTATCTCGGTGCCCTCCTGGTTCTCCTTGGATCGGTCCTGTTTGTCTTCATTCTGAATGAGGCTGCCATCCGAGCCTATGCGTGGAAGAGCGTCCCGGTCATTCTGATCTTCATTATCTCTGGGCTTTCCTGGATGGCGCTCGTATATTGGCAGTGGTTGATCTCCTCGAAGCCCAAACTGGCGCATATTCGACCTCAATTACCGTTTCGGCTCCTATCCAGTCGAGTCATGGTTGCGGGATTCGTGTGAGTGGCAAAGCCCGCTCTCAAATCAAGTAGAGCACGGACTAACCCACTTGCAAAAGGAGCACAATCTTGACAGGATTTGTGATGCTCATGGTCATTGTTAACATCCCTCTGCGGGCTCAGATTGTGAATTTGAAGGATGCGGTGGCATCTGGGATACTGCTGCTGCCGCTGATGGGAGGCACAGCCGTGGGCTCGGCGATAGGCGGTGCCGCATCCGCGAAGCGAAACAATGCCTTTTGGACGCTGAATTTGGCCAGCGTTTTTATGATAATTGGAAGCGCATCGCTCTCGACTCTGACAGACTCGGTGGACCTAGTACCAAGGCAATGGGGGCTTGAAGCAATCCTTGGCTTCGGAATCGGCTTGAGTCTGTCCACAATGACATTTCTGACAACCATGCAAGTGGAGTTTCAGGATCATGGTGAGTTACAATCTTTCTTCTTTCTTCCCAAATGCTCCTACACCCATCAAGAATTTTACGCAATGTGTCAATTGTCTGCTCCCATGATGGCTAACCTCAGGTCCACCCCGAAAATGATAAAAGCCGTCGCCCAAGGAATCGTCGCCCAGCTTCGCATTTTCGGTGGCAGCATCGGCATCGCGTCGGGATTCATCGTCTTCAACACAAACGTCCAACAAGCCCTCGCCGGTGTACTTACCGCGGAACAACTCGACGAGTTCTATAAGACCCCCGCAACTATCTACAAGCTTCCCGTCGCGCAACAGCTTGCGGTTCGACAGGTCTATGTGAGCACGTTCAACACCGAGATGCGGATCTGTACTGGTGTGGCTGCGGCCTGTCTGGTCGCTACACTTTGCACGTACCAGCGAAAGCCGCAGTCAATAAAGCAGCGTCTTGCGGACTTGGAAGAAGTTTATGCAAGGACCGAGGCGGCTAGAACTGGGGGAAGGGAGCTTGATGCCGCATAAGAGACTTTGCTGCTGTGTCTACTCACAAGGAATGATAGGATGACATGTGGTACGAAGGAAGGGACTGTTTGTGAAAGGGATGGCGAGCGGAGCATCGTTTTGATTAGCCATGAGCAAAGAGAGAAGAGAAGATATATTCACAATGTCGGATACACGACCTTCTCACGAGACCTTCTCCATTAACTTGGATAATGATTTTATCTTGGCCCCTCGCATCCCGTGAGCCTTCTTGGTCTCGATTACGTGTATGAATATCGGATTTGATTTCGTGACGGCGAGGTCTTCGCCCCAAGTATACTAGGCACTGTGATCGAAAGGGCAGCTCTTACCGCCTCGGCCGCCGTGGGGATAGTTTCTCCCACGTAGCCTGGAATCTACTATCTTCACGCTCTCTATCGCACTGCATTCTTACACCACCCTTTCCATGGGAAACCATGTCATGTCATGTCCCTGCTTCGACATCGCTTGCAAGAAATGGCTTTCTCATGTTGGCCACATGAAGAGTGTGCTTCGCAGTCGGCCGCGACGGCGCCCATCATCACTGTGCTCGGGCCCCTATGGTTCCTGTCCTGTCGGTGCCTTTTTCATCCATTTTCTCGCCTCGGTCTTATCTTCGGGGAAGCTCGGTGAGTAAAGCTCGGAGCGTTTTGGTGATGGGTTATGTAGGAAGGGCAACGTTCGACGACTTGTTCTCGACTCCGAGCAGAAACAGACATGGCAGCCGGCCGGCTGCTTGTCCAAGCACAGACGACGGAGGAGGTAAAGATTGAAAGAACATGTACCGCATACATTCGTGAGCTAGTAAGACCGCCACTCTGATCTCTGACGGTACTTGATTTGCTGAGACTACTTTTATAAAGCACCAACCAGACCGGATACACAAAATCAATAACCATCAAAGCCATCCACCTATTTGTCTGAGTCGGCCGGAAATCAGCCCTTGAGAGAAATTCACAGACAGTCACAGACAAGACCCTCTTAGGAGCCCCTAGAGAATGGATGACAAACTCCCACCAATCGCCATTGTCGGCATGAGTTGGCGCTTCCCAGGGGAAGCCCGGTCTGCCAGCGGATTCTGGGATATCTTGCGAAAAGGCGAATCGGCCAAGACTCGCATTCCGGCAGAACGCTTTGACCCAGATGCGTACTATCACCCTTCCGCTGATCGACAGGGTGCTGTAAGTGCCTCGAGCCCTTTCCTTCCTCCGCCCCCCCTCCCTGATAGAAGGCTCTGCTCACTTTGCTCATTGCCATCGGATAGATCACAACGAAGGAGGGTCACTTTTTGAAGGAGGATATTGGGCTCTTCGACGCCCCATTCTTCTCGCTGACCGCGGCTGAGGCCGAAGGAATGGACCCCCAACATCGGATTTTGTTGGAGGTGACGTATGAAGCTTTTGAGAATGGTAAACTTGGAGGACCACTACATCGAGGAGTCATGGATACAGAACTGATTTTTTTCTAGCTGGGATGCCTTTGAAAACCGTTGCGGGGAGTCAAACGGCCGTGTACGTCAATGCACAGGCAATATGGTTCATACATGATTTCGCTACTAACAGAGACAAAACAGGATGGTCGGTTGCTTCACCAAAGACTACGAGGTCACCTCCGGACGGGAGGGCACATACATGTCTCCGTACGCATCGACAGGTTGTGGCGGGGCAATGACTGCCAATCGCTTGTCGTGGTTCTATGATCTACGAGGACCTTCTCTCATGATCGATACGGCTTGTTCCTCGAGTCTGGTGGGGCTTCATCTGGCGTGCCGGGAAATTCAGAGCGGTGGAAGCAAGATGGTAAGTAAAACCCCGAGTATATGGCCCTGGGAACGGAATACTAAGCGTTTTTGTTGCCCTATATATAGGCCGTCGTTGCGGGCACCAATCTTATGATCCAGCCGGAGGTGTGGCGGGGTTTGTCGGCCCTGGGGTTCCTGAGCCCCGACGGGCAATGCCACAGCTTTGATAGTAGGGCGAACGGCTACGGACGCGGAGAAGGGGTTGGTGTCATAGTTCTGAAGCCCTTGATGGATGCTGTTCGGGACCATGATGTAATCAGGGCGGTCATTCGGGTAGGTCTGCTCCATGATGATTGGTCTGGTTGAGGGTCGTTTGGACATGAATTCTGATTCTTCTGCGACCTCTCGCGTTGCATGATGTTAGGGCACGGGCATCAACCAAGATGGGAAGACCTCCGGGATCACTGTCCCAAGCTCAGAGGCCCAGGTTAACCTCATTCGATCCACCTACGCAGCAGCCGGGCTCGACTTCTCGGAAACAGCGTATTTCGAGGCCCACGGCACCGGGACACCAGTCGGTGATCCTCTAGAGCTCTCGGCCATAGGAGAGACGATCGGTATCTCCAAGGCAGTGGCCGGGTCTCCTCCGCTTCTGGTGGGTTCTGTCAAGAGCAACATCGGACATCTAGAGGGAGCATCTGGAATTGCTGGCCTGATCAAAACTGTTCTTATCCTCGAGAAGGGTCAGGTTCCCGCTGTGCATGGCTTTGAGGCTCCTAATCCGCGCTTTCAGTTGGACAAATGGAATATTCACATTCCAACGGAGCTTACGCCATGGCCAACGACAGGGCTACGTCGGGCTAGTGTCAACTCGTTCGGGTACGGAGGGACGAATTCGCACGTTATTCTCGACGATGCGTTCCATTATCTTGCTGGTAAGTGACTCGAACGAATGTGGCAGGAGAATCGCGATGTTGATCACGTAGTCGGCGAGCAGACCGAAACCTAACCGCAACTCACAACACACGCCTTCATGAGAGCTTGCTGCCTCCGACTCCAGACTCAGGCGTTTCAGTTGCCTCGCTGCGCGACTTTCCAGCCGCTGCGCCGCGGCTGTAATCTTTTCTGCGCCAGAGCAAGATGGTGTGACTCGCATCTCTCAAACATACGCGGATCATATCAAGCATAGCTTTGACTTAGCGCACAAGGAGTCGGAGGATAGTCTAGCTACTCTGGACAGTGAGCTCTCCCTCGTCCACACTCTGGCCGAGCGGCGGACTACTTTCGACTACCGCGGGTTCGCTGTTGCCACATCGCTCACGGATCTGCAACAAGTCCTGGAAAGTACACCACCCAAGGCGACACGCTCGTTGAAGACTCCTTCTTGTGCCTGGGTGTTCACTGGGCAAGGAGCGCAGTGGCCTGCAATGGGACGAGAGCTCCAGGAGATTGGGGTCTTCCAAAATAGTCTTCTACAGGCGGACAATTACATTGCCTCGCTTGGAAGCGATTTTTCTCTCGTTATGGAGTTGAACCGGTCAGGGGAGAAAAGCCGCATTAATGAGCCGCGTTTCTCGCAGGTATTGTGTACCGTTGTGCAGGTCGCGCTGGTAGAGCTTCTGCGGTATTGGCAACTACGCCCCAAGGCCGTCGTGGGTCACTCGAGTGGAGAGATAGGTACGTCATGTACCACGATCTAAGTAGCTTCGTGCAAGAGAGCCCCAAAGCTAATAGAGCGCAGCCGCAGCCTATGCCTCCGGAGCGCTCAGCAGAGAGGCCGCATGGCGGATCGCGTACTTCAGAGGCGTGCACTCGGAACAAATCGCTACTCTTCTTCCCAACACGCGAGGGTCCATGTTGGCCGTCAACATCTCCGAAGCGGGGATCCGGAGCTATCTGGACCGAGTCACACAAGGCGAGGCTGTGGTAGCCTGCATCAACAGTCCGACGAGCGTGACCGTCTCCGGAGATACGTCTGCGGTGGCCCAGGTTGAGAATCTGCTCCAGAGCGACGATGTATGGTGCAGAAAGCTCAAAGTCCAGACGGCATATCATTCTCCACACATGAAAGTGATCGCCGAGCAGTATCTGGCCTCAATTCAAGACATTCAGCCGAGTGAATTGTCCGATGCCTCATTCTTCTCGTCCGTTCTCGGCTCCGAATTGCCTCCCTCTGGCCTGGGAGCGGACTACTGGGTGCAGAACCTTCTCAGTCCCGTAAGATTCTCGGAGGCGGTTACCACTCTGCTGAGTCAAAGTCCTACCAAGTTCCGACGGAAGGGAATGGCTGGGGTGAACGCGCTCATAGAAATTGGGCCTCATTCCGCACTGCAGGGACCTTTGCGCGACATTGTCTCTCATATCTCGAACCTGAACGCGAATGCCATCACGTATACATCTTTGCTACAGAGGGAGAAAAATGCGAGAGTAACCGCTCTGGATGCTGCTGGCAAGCTTTGGAGCCTAGGCTTCAACCTGGATCTGGCCCGAGTGAACTCTAGCACCAGATCGCCCTCGTTGCACTGGAAACCACTCGTCAACCTCCCTAGGTACCCATTCAACCATAAGAGAAGATACTGGCATGAGGCACGAAGCACTCGGCTGAGGCGGACGCGAAACTGTCCTCGGACCGACTTGCCCGGGCTTCCTACAGATGACCACAATAACGTCACGCCTCGCTGGACCAATTTCATCAGCCCTATCGAGGTACCGTGGCTGATGGATCATCAGATCCAAGGACTCGTCGTCTTTCCAGGTGCTGCCATGCTGGCGATGGTGCTCGAAGCATGCAAACAAACAGCTGGCCCACGGGCTGTTTCGATCCAGGGCTACGAGTTCCACGACGTCACCTTCTCCAGGGCAATGGTATTCTCATCGTCTGTTGCCGTCGTCGAGACAGTGTTACAGCTACGACCTCATAACTCCGGAACGAGGAGCACCGGCACTACAGCTACACATTGGATGCACTTCAGTATCATGTCGATTGCACCGGACGGCACTGCTGCGGAGCACTGCTCGGGACTTGTCCGAGCCCTCTACGCCAACGTCCCCAACGCTGTAGACAGCACCTTAGAAGCCCTCCAGGGTTGGGACAGCTACAAACACGAGTACGCGCTCATCCGCCAGAAGGCCAAAAAGACACAAGCGGCCAGCCGGCTCTACGATCGCTTGGCCACACTGGGCCTACGCTTCGGGCCTGCATTCCGCAACATCACGGAAATCCACACGGGTGACGGCTTTGGGCACGGCGAGCTGCAAGTTCATGACACGGCGGCACGAATGCCGGAGGGCGTCGAGACTCCGATTCCAATACATCCCACGCTCCTGGACGCAGCCTTCCAGATGATGATTTGTAGTGGAACAGTGAGAGACGATTCGCCGGCAATGGCGCCCAGCCTAATTGAGTCGCTGTATATCTCCGCCGAGATTCCGCCGGTTGGCTCGCGCATGAGCGGGTACAGCACCCTCAGTCCGAAGATCCGGCTCAAGCAGAGTGGGAACGTTATCCTCTCGGATGATTCGTGGACTCAGCCCAAGGTGATACTGAAGGGGTTTGTATGCAGGGAGCTCGACTCGGCTCAACTGCGGCATGCTCCCCGCAAGATCTGCACGCGTTTGGACTGGAGGATGGATGTTTTGTCTTCCGCGACCACGGCCCGTAGGTTCTGGGACTCCCTGCCTGTACATCTCTCACCCCTCTCAAAGCAAGCGAGTGATTGGAACCAAGCAGCGGCAATATTCGCTCAGAGGGCAATGTCTTCTCTTCCGGCTGAGGTGACGAGTCCAACCCTCAAACGATATCTTGACTGCATACATACTCTCGCAAGGACAACGTTAGACAAGTCATTAAGCGAGCTGGGCAACCTCGAGAACTGTCCGGTGACAGAAGTGATACGAACGGTGGGAAATGGGCTAGATCAGATCCTCCAGCCCAGCCCCAACACTCAGCCTGTCTTAACCTCCGAGCATATTTCGACGTCTTTGAGCAATGCGACAAACCATACGTTCGTCGATTGTGTTGCCACGGAGTACTTGGACCGTCTTGGGGACGTGAATCCCGACGGCCGTATCCTGGAGATTGGAGACGGATCCACTTCCTGTGCAACATCGGTCTTACGGCGGTTGGCAGATAAGGCGTCTGACTGTGCGCGTATCAGCAAATATACCCTCGCGGCACCTGAGTCCGATGCGCTTTCCCAAGCCCGAACACTCTGCAAGGAGTGATCATTACACATGTCGGGCCGGATGTGAAGCAGTTCAAGCCCGGTGACAAAGTGGTGGGCATGCTACAGGGTAGTTTCAACAGCCATGTCCGCATCAGATCAACAATCATCCAGCACGTTCCAGACCACATGACCCTCGAAGACGCGACCACCGCCATCGTTTCCTTCCTTACTGCCTGGATTGCACTGGTCAACAAAGCACATATCACCCGGAATGAAACAGTCCTAATCCATTACGGTGCCGGTGGCGTCGGCCAAGCCGCGATCCAGATCTGCCAGCACCTGGGCGTCGAGATCTACACGACGGTCGGGTCTCCAAGCAAGAAGAAGCTCTTGGTTCAGCAATACGGCCTGGCCGAGGATCACATTTTCTACTCGCGAGACTCGACGTTTGCCGGGAACCTGATGAAAATGACCGCTGGCCGCGGCGTGGATGTCGTTCTCAACTCGACCTCGGGCGAACTTCTCCGCCAGTCATGGCTTTGTGTCGCGGACCACGGGCGCTTCGTGGAGATCGGGAAACGGGATATCTTGACTAACGTGGGCCTCGACATGCACCCATTTATCCGCGGGTGAGCTATATCGGGTTCAATCTGGAGATGTATCACCAGTGTAGTCCCGTTCACATGGAATGTTCCGAGGCAATGGATGAGATCTTTCATCTCTTCCGGACGAAGCGCTTCCGGGCGCTGAACCCACTGACGGTCTACAGCTACTCCCAGGTAGAGCAGGCGTTCCGTGCCCTGCAAGCCGGGGAAATCTCGGGCAAGGTCGTAGTCCAGGCTCGACAAGATGATCTCGTCCCGGTCGTGCCGCCGGTCGAAGGCCCGTTGGCAATGGATCCAGACTCGACATATCTTCTGGCTGGCGGGCTGGGTGGCATCGGTCGCAGTATTGCAGACATGCTGCTGTCCCATGGTGCAAGACATCTTGCGTTTATATCTCGATCGGGCGACGCCAAGGGCGAGGCGAGGCGTTTCATGGATCAACTTCAGCGACATGGTTGCGATGCACGGGCTTATGCCTGTGACATCTCCGACCGCGAGAGTCTTCGAAGTACACTGGCAAGGTGTTCATCGGAGATGCCCCCGATTAAGGGCCTTATCCAGTGCTCGATGATACTGAAGGTACGTTCTATTCTTCTTCCATATATGTGTTTCTTTCTTTTCTTCTCATCTATCTCATCTTCTTCCTCCTATTAACACCACGGGCTCAACTCTCAGGACGGAATCTTCGAACAATTGCCCTACGAAGACTGGATCATCAGTACTCGTCCCAAGATTCAAGGCTCATGGAATCTGCATGAGCTCCTTCCGCCAGACCTTCATTTCTTCATCATGCTGTCGTCCGTGTCTGGCATCATCGGTAATGCGGGGCAAGCCAACTACGCCGCCGGCAACGCGTTCGTTGACGCCTTAGCTCATTTCCGGCGCCGTCAGGGCCTTACTGCCACGGCGCTGGATCTCGGTGCCGTTCGCGATGTTGGATATATTGCTGAGTCGTCCGGTGACCGTGCGGCGGACCTAGCTCATACCAAGGCGTTTCAGGTGGCCGAGAATGAGGTTCTTCGTCTGGTGAAGCTTGCAATTGCGGCAGATCACACTGTCGGGCAGCAGCAGCGTGGGAGAGACCCAGGCCCAGGCCGAAACGGCCACCACGACCGCCATCATGAAATCCCGGCGCAAATTATAATGGGCTTGGGCAGCACGAGGCTGGAGATGGAAGAGTTCCTCCGACGGGCGCACTGGGCGCGCGACGCCAAGTTCTCGACGCTGTGGAAGCCGGACTGTGCGACGAACGGTAGCAATGACGCGGCGTTGCAGTCGGGGTTGGAGGCCTTCAGCAATGCTGACTCCCTTGAGGCTGCCGCTGGGATTGCAGAGGATATGATTGTCTCGCGTATGGCCAGGATGCTGATGATCCCAATGGAAGATATCAATGGTGCCCAGCCTTTGCATACTTATGGAGGTGAGTCTCGCTCTGCTTTTCTTTTTCTCTTTGCTTTTTTCCCCCTACGCTTCCACTCTTCCACTCTTTCGGTTTCCCTATGACGTAATATTCCCTATGCTGATCCAGATCTGCATAGTCAACTCGCTGGTCGCTGTTGAGATTAGGGCGTGGATAGCGAAGGAATTTCAGACCGAAATCGCCGTCTTCGACATCCTCAGCTCCATTCCCTTATCTGGTCTTGCGACCAAGATCGTCCGTGAGAGCAAACTGCTTCCCGCACGACTGATGAAAGAGACTAGTGGATCTGACGAGAAGGGCGAGAGGGCCGAGGAGTCACACTTGTGATTATATTTAATCATTGTTCTTGTCGATCGTCCTATTCGTATAGAATGCTCGGGGGTTGCGGACCGGAGTGCAAAGCGGGCAAACAGATACATATTCGTGTGACAGTACGCGAAACAACTGCGGCAACTCGCCAAATGGGAAATGTCCCAACTACCCTATAATGAAAGAAGAATCAACGTATCCGAGGGGAAATTGGAACCCGTAGGGAGAACACCTGTAGAATTCGGTAGGCGGTTACCGCCGGGGTACGGTAAGAATATTGAGTGAGTGAGAGACTTTCCATGTGCTATCCTTCCGTATGTGGTAGCTGATAGTCCGGCCACGTGACCCAGCGATTCACCAGGCGAGCTCAAATGTTGAGAACTCAGTCAAGAACTCAGTCAAGAACTCAGTCAAGAACTCAGTCAAGAACTCAGTCATCTACAACCATCAACAACCATCAAGAATCCCAAGAGTCATTTCATATTGCACATCCTTAGCGTCACTTTATCATCAATATAATCAATAATATTCATCAATCCCAATAGTTGCGAAATTGTTTCAGCAAAGCAGAGACTTGCGAGCGAGCACCATCAATCTTGAGTACACAATTAGGCCAGCAATCACAAGTGACACGTTGAGGGGCCGAGGCCCGCTGTCCAGCATGCAGGCACCCTATCTTAGACATGACATGTCGGAAACGGATCAGAGAGAACTCCAAGCGAATCAGCAGTTCAATACAGCTCAGTCGAGTCCCTAGTTGCCGCTCGTGCATGGTATCCCGGCATTCAAGCGATGATTTGGCCACCTTGCCGTTCTTCCGCGGACCAGGTCTGTCGCAGCCGAAAGCCGGTTGCTCCGGGGGGCTATACCACTGGCCTTCAGTCACTACTGGATCTGAAGGAGCGGTGGAGTAATGATGTCGTTGGAAGTTGTACTGTATGATCCCGGTGGACACTTGCGTGGCTTCCATGAGCGCGAATCGAACGACTTTTGTCTCCGATGATGAAGAAAGCGAGGAGGAGGCATGATCGTCGGCCTCCTGCAGTGCGAAGGCCGCTTGATTGAGTTCGCTAAAGAGTTTCAATACGGATCGCACCTGATCCTGGCCGGCCTCTGTGAGGAGATCCAGTATCATAGATCGTTGGCATGTGGTGTGGAGCTTGCTGTATAACTCCAGGGCATCCAAGAAGCCTTTTTCTCGGGCGCCCCTGGGCGTCGGTAGGGCGCCTCCTGTGCCTTCATCCAGCGCGGTCAGGCTTTCTAGCCTCATCAAAGTTGGCTCCGCCACGGGGTCCATGATCGGGCTTCCAGCTTCTAAGAGAGAGCTCCCGGTGCCGGATCCTTGCTGGAGCATGAAATGGTGGCTGAGGGTATCCGTCTCCCAGCCATCACCACGAAGACCACCGGACGGTTGGAGCAAGTCCTCGAGTTGCCCCGACGAGGCTAATGCCAGCGCCGACTGCTGTGGGTTGTTAGCTGCCAATATTGCCCATGCGGGTGGTGATGCATTCCACCCCGCCGGGTCAATTGCTTCCGGAGTCCACATCTGCTGCGCCTGTTGTCCATGCGACAGTGACTCTAGGTTCTGCTGAACGAGGCTATGAACCTGTTCCATCCCTTCCTCATTCTCCTCGTTTCCTCCCCTGTCTTCGTCTCCCGCCATCTGCTCCCCCGACCGCATGGATGACGACATCGGTCGTAGGGGCGACTGGGTAGTGGGTTCCGCCTGCAAAAGTTTGGACGAACGGTTCGTCTGCAGTGGCAGTGGCTGCGGTGGTGAGGAGGATGAAGAGGAAGAAGAAGTCAGAGGCTGCTTGCGCGGTCTCCCAGTCCGGCTCCGAAGCGAGAAGAGGCATCGTCGTTGGTTGAGTGCGCATGCTTTGCAACTGCTGCCCGCGCCACCACTGTTCGCCAGAGCCAGTTCGCAGCGGATCTTGCGCGCGTGGCATTCCTCGCAAGCTACCCGAACCTGAGCCTCGATTGCCCTGTCGTTTTGTCCTGTCATAGGGGGTAAGGGCTCTGTCGACGAATCTTGGTTTTGCTTTAAGTCTCCGAACAATAGAATTGTTGTGGGGAGGTGGGGGGGAAGGGGGAAGTGCTGCCTCTTATGTGGAATTGTTCTACTATTAACGGACCTGTCATCACTAACGATCGTTCACGGAAGGAACGCCTGCTATGAAGACCAAGCAATTCACAATCCTGGACTCGATTGATGCCAACAGCGCTGACTCGGAAACACCGTGGTAGGCGGCGGGCAATGATTACTAGGTATGATTGAACTAGTGCGCCGCTAGGGGTCTTGGGACGCGGGGAGCCCGGCCCAGCAGAGTTTCTAGGCAAGGCTTTTTTTTTTCTCCTTATACTCCCTCCCCATCGCCACTTCTTATCGAGTCCCAGCCCTGGAGAACAGGCACGCTTTCTACGATGGGTGTAGCAAAGCACCCCGCACCCGAGTTGCCGGTTGGTTAAGTTGGCTGCACCATCTGCTGTTTGCTGCTGCATCCAGTCAATTTTAATTAACCAAGGCCGGCGCGGCGCCTATAAACACTTTCCTAAACGGGTATAGAAGGTAACTGGTGAATACCCTTTCCCAGAACTAACCTACAAACAATTACAAATAAGGTGCAGGTGTTGGCTGCCCCCGCCGGAAACGCCGCCATTAAAGGTCCTAAGGGTCCTAAGGCCCTTAAGATCTTATCTTGCGCGCCTGCGTCGGTGACATATAATTCGATAAAATCGATTTGCATGTGACCCCCAAAGACAACTTCCCTGAAGTAGGGTGGTTTTTAATCTACTGCTCTCCTTTCCCCCGCAAATAGTTCATCTTTCTCACGCATAAGCGCAAGCCTCCACATCCATCGCGTGGTCCCCACGAGCACTGTGGTCCAACCCCAAGGGACTAGCCAACCTGCTTGAGGAGAAAAGAAAAAGAAAGATCCACTCATTAGTGACTGGCGAGCTTAAAGAAAAGGGCCGGAAGCGCTTTCCGTTGGACTCAGAAACTCACCAACGATAAACACCATCTTCGCGCTAGGGAGAGTGGTAATGAGAGCGATGAGCGCAGCCGCCACAGCTATTCCAGAAACACCCCACGCTAAGTCCAGGTGCGCCTTGAGAAGGCGAATTGCCTTGCTCGAGCGATAGCGTGCGTCAAGCAGTCGGCGGTACTGCTGTCCCTGCCCGCCATCGACCGCGACCACGTCCTCGATAATGGTGTAGACCCCTGGCCGGACCATGGCGGTCCGTTCCATGGAAGAGACTCGGAACGGATACTTGGCTTCTATTCGAACCATTACGGCGGCGCAAAGGAGTTGGCTGCTTACTTGGAGAACTAGGAGCGACAAAGGCAGGCTCATCAATCGAGTTGAGGTGTTGTTGTTGTTGTTGTCATCCTGACTCAGACTGGTCCTGACCGCTGCGATCATCAACGCCGCGATGTAACAGAACCCCGTGAAAAAGTTCCACTGGAAATAGTCTAGCTGTGGATGTATGCCCCAAGAGTCATTCATCAGTAAGTGGGCCGGCCACAGAAAGTGAGGGCAATACTTGGTTTATAGACCAGAGAGAGTGAGACTGACTGACATGGTATCGTGGTCGTTGCCTGCTGTATTGTAGGGCCGACAGGTGGAATCCGAACGAAGAAGCCGCCAGGTTCGCCGCAGCATCATCGATGCACTGACTGTTCCCACGACGGCTGCAAGAATGGTGAAAACTGTTGTGACCATTCTGTCAGCCGAATCTTGAGGCCCGGGGCACGCCAAATAGCCAGTCACATACCTATCCAGAGTTGGAGCCCCGCAGCTTTGGTCAAGACGAGATAAATTATCACCGGTACTAATCCACCTCCGGTCAAGATACAGACCGCAGCGATTGCGATGGTTAGCCGGTGTTGACCAAGCTCGAGTGGAATCCTGGTCACTTGGTCTACTACATCACTGAGCTCATGGCAAACCTGGATGTTCTGCGAGATCTTTAACATCGTGGAACTTTCCTTGGGTTCGACCACCATAGATCAAATTGTAATCCCTGCAGCCTAGGAGATTCAGGATTCAATCGGCTGAAATATGAAGTGCTGGTTGAAATATCATGCTGCCTGGTCGGGCGAGACAGGCGCTAGAAACTGCGACATGCTAGGAACAGAGAGAAAGTCGCCGAGCGACAGTTATGGGCAACCTTAGGAATTGGGGGGGGAAACAGGCCGAACAAAACAGCCAAAAAAAAAAAGAAAAGAAAAGAAAAACAGAAGCAGAGGAGAAGAGCCTGCCACCGGCTTGTTTTTGGTCAGCAGCCACTGCGGGGAAACGAATCTTCAGAAAACTAAGATGAGTTTCAAGTATGTTAACATCATTCTCGTTCCCACATTGCGCTTCTTGAAATACCGATATTGACTGACTATCCAGCCCTTCTGTTGCATAACTTACATACCGCAGAGATCAACTTTCTTTTCTTTTTTCTTTTCTTCTTTTGCAAGACAGATATGGCTCAGAAAGGGGGGGCCCGAGCACCTTTCAATAATTGGCCCAACGATGCAGGCGTAGGCTAAACTCCAAAAGTTCCAGTCACTTATCGAGGGACTGATCATGATCTTCAAGCTTGCAGTTCGAAGCCACGGCTGAGCATCGCACCCCGGTGGAGTTGCCGGTCATGGGAACCCTTCCAAACCAACTGGCCGGGACTTTGTACAGAATCGGTCCTGGAACATACAAGGTCAAAGACAGCGACTTTCAGCTCAGCCACTGGTTTGACGGATTCTCCTTTGTGCACAGATTTGAGTTGGTGCCACAATCCACCACCGGGTCCTGCAAAGTCTTCTACAACGCCCGAGGGCAGGTCGACGCGTTGACGGAAGAAGCACGAAAGTCCGGCACGCTGAAAGGCATGACCTTTGGACAGAAGCGAGATCCATGCGAAAGCATCTTCCGCAAGGTCAAGTCGTTCTTCCATCCGCCCTTCAATTCCAAGGACCCAGAGCTTGTTAATGCCGGGGTCACCCTGCATGCCAACGTTAGCATCCATCCCATTCTTCATCTCTTATAAGTGATTTGCTGTCTTCGCAAGCTTTTGTGATAGCTTTGAGTCTCTAACCTGAAGTCCACAAGCAATTAGGCCCCCGGGGTGCCAGCGAGCCTACAAGTTCCCGGTGCGTCGTTGGCGGCAGCCCGCAGCCTGACATCGCTGACCGATGCCAATGTTCTCAAACACGTAAGGGCTTACTTCTCCCTTCCGCTCATCCAACAAGATGAAAAAGAAAAGAAAAAGAAGCAGGAAAAAAACAAAAGAGAACAGTTGACTGAAACTGAATACAAAGATTAACCCCGAGACGCTGGAACCAATGGGGGTTACTCGCCAGGTGGATCTGCACCCGGACCTCAAAGGCCCACTGTCCTGTGCCCATGCGGAAGTTGACCCGACGACGGGTGACTTCTACAACTTTAACCTCAACATGCGGAGGTATGCCACGTACCGCATCTTCCGCACGTCTGCCACCACGGGGCAGACCGAGATCCTCGCCACAATCACCGGTCCGGAGGTGAAGGCGGCGTATCTACATTCTTTTTTTCTCAGTGCCGACTACGTGATTCTGTGCGTCTGGCCCGCCAATTATGCGGCCGGGGGGTTGAAACTCCTTTGGGAGAGAAACATCGCAGATGCGATCAGTTTCGATCGCATGGCGCCGGCGCGATGGTATGTTGTGGATCGAGTGCACGGCCAAGGCGTTGTGGGTACATATCTAAGCCCCGCATTCTTCTGCTTTCACACCATCAATGCGTGGCAGGAAACGAACCGTGCGGGGAATGATAATGGTAATGATGATGATGATGATGATGATGTTGACGGAAGCCTGACGATCACCGACATCTTCTGCGATATTATTCAATATCCTACCGACGAGATGATCCAGCGCGCATACTACGATACGATGGTGTCCACCGGCCCGAACGTGACCAGGTACTATGGCAGCGAGCTCTCGCGCCCTCGCTTGGTTCGCTATCGTTTACCGGCTGTGACCAGGGCCGCCAAAGAGGACGACGTGAAGGAGAGATCATCTGACCCCGACGCCATCCTCCCCTTGCCAAACGCCGAGGCGATACTAACAATAGACAACGATCACTGTGTCGGCGACCTCCCGACCTTCAATCCGCGGTTCAAAACCAGGAAGACGCGATACGTCTACAATCTCATCAACCAAGGCAAGGTATACACACATCCGTCCATCCATCCCGAACCCCCATCTGCACTTTCTTTTTGTTCTTCCCAGCCGAAATCCACCCAACTAGAGGGCATTGGTGGTGGTCGTGGCTGATGGGGCCGTCCCCTCTCTACCTACCTAGTCATCCTTCTTCGACGCGATCGCGAAAATCGACCTCGACACCCAAGAATCCTGGCTGTGGGAGCAGGAACGACATACCCCGGGGGAAGCCATCTTCATTCCCGATATGAAAGTTGCGACAGACGACGACAACAACAACAACACCAACAGGGCCACCGACGAGGAGGATGCGGGGTACCTTCTCAGCGTGGTGTTGAATGGGGACACGGGCACCAGCTACCTCCTTTGTCTGGATGCGCGCACCATGCGGGAGGTTGGGCGTGCCGTCTGCGATTCGGCCGTGGGCTTTGGGTTTCATGGGTCGTACTACCCTGCCGGGACTTGGTGAATGGGGTAGGGGGGGATGCTGTGCATTTGCGTGTGCGCGCGCTCTCTCTCTCTCTCTCTCTCTCTGTGCTCTCTGCTCTCTGTCGTTCTGTGAGAATTTGACGGCGAGGCGATCTTCATCCCCATATCCTGGATTGGTTTCTTTTTCTTTTTCTTTTTCTTTTTCTTTTTCTTTTTCTTTTTCTTTTTCTTTTTCTTTTTCTTTTTCTTTTTCTTTTTCTTTTTCTTTTTCTTTTTTTTCTTCCTTGTGTTTTTTTGCGTTTTCTTTTGAGTTTCCTGCCCGGAGCTGTGGACCAAAAATAATCCAATGGGCTTGCTTGGCTGCTGTTTCCAACCTCGTCTAATGTTGGCGTTAGGAAGAAGAGGTCAATCCGCTGCACTGCACCACTGCACCACCTGTCCAGGCTGGAGGTTCAGTACCTAAATATATACCTTCCGTTTCTGGAGAGACTGAACCTTTTCGGGGCCGTCATTGTGATGGTCATTCTCGTCGCCATCTCGGGCGCGAAGTCTGGTGTGCAGTGGGAAAATAGGGCTCCCGTGCTCAAGTCATATGGGAAACCTCGGTTAAAGGGGGGGATCTAAGCCTCAATAAGTATTGCTACTTCAGATCTTGATACAAGGCAGCACACCTTAAGCATACTGGTGAGTACGGCTAACATAGAGTGATCTCATTTCAGAGCGGAAAGCAAAGCATGCTTAACGTAGTAGCTAGCGGCCATATATCAGGTTACTTATCAAGGTAGTATCTGTGATCCATAAGCATAAGATAAATAGAACAAGCTGTAATAATGTAATATATTGTAATATTAGAAGTAAAAAGATCATTTATATAAGCTTAACTTAGATTATAATTTTATATCAAGACTTTAGTATAACGACAACTAATTCATAAACAGATATTATTTATTTTTGTTATTTATTTATTTCTGCTTTGGATAATTATTTAGATTTAAGACTTTTTTTATATATAAATATATTAATACTTAGTTTTCTTTTCAGCTATTAAGTTTTGATACTGCGAGCCGGTCCAGCTTATTCTTCTAAAATAATTTTATATAGCGCTATTAGGCGAGGAAATAATGTTAGATCTGGTGTTGCGATGCAAAGATGAGCTCGGGATATTACTGTGACGTGTGGATGCAGTTGTGGTGAGCGAGAATGATCCCCTGTTTTACGTGGTTAGCAATAGAATGAGATTGTTCTTTCCAGCGAAGCGTCTTGAGCATTTCAATACCTGAGCTGACAGGGTAGAGCCAGGACGGACAGCCTTTTTTCCAGCAGCATGCGGTACCACGATGCGATTTGCGCATTGCCAGTTGCAGTCAATGCGTGTGTCAACACAGGTAGAGACGCGGAACCTGGCGAGGCGGACCAGCTGCGCCACTCGCTCCCCTGCTGTGGCCCTCTGCTTGGCCGTTGAATGAAAGGAGAAAACTAGGGCAAGGCTTAGCGCAGTCGGGGAGTCACCCACAACCAGACTAGATGGAAAACACTTCTCAGTTGGCGATGATCCTCAGGGACAACGGGCGGCTTTAGCGTCCTGGCCAAGGACATCGCTTACTGGAGCAATGATGAAGGTGACATGGAACGAGATACGCATCCACGACTAAGGTGCATTGCATTGGTTCGTGCATCGCCCGGTTGGTCTGGTGGAGCTGCTGGATCAAGCCAAATCTCCAAATTGCCAATGCTCAGGGTCCCAAAGCCTGTCTGGACCCCCTACAGATTCCGTCATCCACCCAAGCTACCACCACACCTCTGTATTGTCGACGCAGGAACCCCACATCACCGAAGAACTGGTACATCGCCCATGGTGTGAGGACTGTCAGTCACATACACCATCTGGCGGTCGAAACGAGTACGGCAGAATTGCCCCGAACGGAGCGGAGCATGTGCGCCCCGCCAACTGGGTGGATCAAGGCGTCCATTCATATTGGATTTCCAACACACCGTTACAGAGTGGAGTCCGGAAGACCATGTCTTAGCGTTCGTGTCTTTGCCTCCCTCCCCGTTTACCCCTTTTCGCTGTCACCGCAATGGATGGGGCAGATGGCCGCCTTTACCCTGGTCAAAGAACACTAGCTGCCACTCAACTAGTAGTAGCTAGTGCACTCGATGCATTCCCAGCAAGAGAGAAAACGTGATTGGTTACTTTCCGGGATGTAACAGGAAATTTGTATGGGCTCATCTGGTTCACTATTCTGGTGCTCCGAAATGCAGAAATGATCGTTCGGGTGTTGTCTAGAGCAGCTCATGCGTGGACCCTATCTGCAACACGTAAGAACGGCTAAGAGTGATATCACAATATAGTCCCGAGGCTCTCCTTCGCACCTGTCTTGATGTCTGACACGACGAAGCGCAACCTTGAAATCCCTAGGTCCCCGGCAGAACCTCTCCTCCAACCGTCAACCGTCACTCGCGAGATTGACCATCAATATCAGTAGCTCACGTTCAGGCTCCTAGGGGGTCCCATCGCAACGATGAGACGACCCCGCCATCCACGAGGATGTCACTGCCGGTGATAAACGAGGACTCGGGACTGACCAAGAATGCGACAGCATTCACAATGTCCTGCGGCGTTCCAACCCGACCCGCCGGACTGAGGGCGATGAACTTCCCCGCTGGGCCCCTGATCTCCTGCCGCCCCGCGCCGGTCGATATGACCCCGGGGCTGACCGAATTCACCCTCCCTCCACGGCGACCCCATGCTCTCGATGACGCCTGCACGCGTAGTAAATTCCCCCGTTTGGACAGCCCATAGGCCCGTGCCGGCCCTTGCGGATCGGCGGCGTCGATGTCCAGAGCGGCGTGATCCAGCAATTGACCCCGGGGCGTGGTCGCGAGATGATGCTCGAGCTCCGACGGCAATCCCGATCCCATGTGCCCGGCCATGCTGGCGATGCAGACCATGCTTGTTCCGGTCTGCGCGACCTCCAGAAAGGCATCGAGAGCATTGGCGGTGCCCACAAGATTAGTGGCAAGGATCTTCCGGGCACAGCGGACCGACGGGGACACGCCAGCGGTGTGGATGATGGCTTCCACGGGTCCATGAGAAGCGGCCGCCTGCGCAAAGTGGCTGACCGAATCATAGTCGGACACATCCACCTGGTATGTTTCCACCAGGTAGCCGTCGTTTGCCAGGGCTTCCCGGGCTTCGGAGAGAATCTCGTCGGAGTAGTCGGCAACACAGAGACGGCGACCAACACCGAGGCGTCGGGCGATTGCCAAACCCATGCCCCCGCACCCGAGGATCGCAATGCTTTTGGCGGACATGCTGATGGCTCTCTGCGTATGGCGAGGAAAGCGGGCTTGGGAGGCGGGCTGGCCGGAGAGAATCAATGTGGGCTTGGAAGTCACGAAGGATGGGCGTCTTGCAATGATGAATGCTTCGTTTGGATGGAAACTCGAGTGCGTCGGTAGTTGGAAGTTTCGTCTGCTTTTTATACAGGGAGGATTGATGTGGGGGCCCAGAGCTCAGCTCGACCGAGAAAAGAAAGATATTTGATAAACCTCAATGAGAGTCCCAGACCCGCTTTCACAGCTCATACCAGTATAGCTGAGCTGCCGTAACAAATGATGTCAAATCGAGCGAGCGGATCCCAAATTTGGGTTCGAAATTGTTTTGGTGGGTCACATACAGAGGTGGGTCCTTGAACCTGTTCTATTTTGCGAATACGAACCCGAGTCTGAACCCGAGCCCAGGTGGACAGCCAAAATGAGGAGGAAATTCATTCACGCAAATGTTATATAGAGATCCAACTTGGAAACGAAATTTCTTCAATGATCATTCCTAAGAGAGGCTTTTTATCGCAAGCAAACCCGCCATTTCGTTTCTTTGCCACTCCCTCGTTCATGTTTCATCAGCATGGCCACTTCCCCGGAATCACAGATCGATCCCCCCCGGCGCGAGAGGGCGGTGACGTTTCTACAACTCTCAACTATACGATACCTCCTGAACGCGAAGGACTAAAACCAATCGATGCCGATCTACCCGAGGCGGAACGGCGAAATGCTCAGCGCGGGGGCCTCACGGATGTTTGAGAGAGGTTGTAATCAAGGACATTCGCGGGCAAGAAGATGAGTTCACCCTGGATGTCCAAGGCTTTCAATTTGTCAAGCATCAGCTGGATGCGAGAGTGACCGATTTGGAAAGACCAACGGCAGATCAAGGAGATCGTTCAGCCCGCCACGGAAGACCTCGTCCAGGGAATGTAGGTTGTGCCACGATCACCGTGGTGAAAAAAAAAAGATGCGGCGGGCAACGAATCCCCATTCGCGGACTGACTCCGATGAACAGGACCGGTGCATCGGGAGTCATTGTCTACCTTACTCGCCTGAGGTTCGAGGGCAATCAGACTGGAAACAAAATGAGCCCCCCCAATTCTTCTTCGCATGGTGTTCACTCGGATATCACGCACGCGTCTTGCCGGCCGGTTCAGAAGGAGATCCTACCAGCCGACGAAATGGCGCGGCTCATGGGCTGTCGCTTTGTGGTTGTCAATGTCTGGAGGCCAATAAAGCCAGTACAAAAAGATCCTCTTGCAGTCTGTGATTGGAGGTCTGTGGACCCAGCGACGGACATTTTTCCAGACCGGAGGGTCGTTGCCGGGCAGGTGTTCGAATTCAGGGTATCGGTCTTCAACGAGAAACATGAATGGTTTTATTTTAGCGACTAGCAGCCAGATGAACCGCTCGTTTTCATGCAGTTGGGTAGTGATGTTGCCTCCAGCGTGACCTTGCTCCACTCGGCCTTTGTTGATCCCAAGCATGTCGATGATCCTCCACGCGACAGTATTGAAATGAAATGTTTTGCGTTTTTCACCGAGCAGGCCAGTCAAGCGGTTGACTGAGTGAGAACAGCATGGGGGGAGGGGGGGGGGGGGGGGGCGCTCTATGATGGTACTTAACAATGCCTCAGTGAGCGCCACAATCTTAATACATCGAAAGATCAAATTTTGACTCTCCCCCTGCCGGGCCAACATTTCCCGCGGCCTGGACGCGACGCATGTAGGCCAGCCTGCGACAATAGTGCTAACATACTACAGACAGTGTCGAACAGAAAGTAGTCTTCTTCAAAATCTGATTGCTTGAATCCATGAGCATTAGCTAGATAAGACAAACCGGAATGACATGGTGCATTGCAGCATTAGAAACAAGAAGGCTCTTTGGATGAGTTTCACCCGTCTGAGACCATGGTCTCGCATCAAGACTTGTACGCAAAGGGCAACTAACTCGCAGGCAGGCATCATCCACCTCCACTGCTCATCCCACCTTGCTTCAGATAGTCCCTCAAGCTCAGGATCCCCTGCACATGCGCGTGTGTCAGTGCACAGCCCTCCTCCTCGGCCAGCAGGTGCGCCGTGCGGAGGACGTTCTTGATCTGCCGGCCATTGAGCTCCAGCGCCGCGAGCCGGTCCAGCTCATCCTCCGAGAATGGTTTCGTATGGCGTTGTTGGGCGAGGAATTGACGCCAGATCTGGTGTCGCGATGCGAAGGTGAGCTCGGGGTAGCGGATGGACATGTGGATCCGCGATTCGAAGGCCGGGTCGATGTGCTCGGCGCGGTTGGTGGTCAGGAATAAGATGCCCTAGATTGTGAGTCTGTTAGTTTTTGTGTATCTTGTTTGGCTGAATCCCTCGCGGGTCAGCCGGACACACCTCGTAGTACTCTAGCAGTCTTAGGAATATCGAGACGAGCTCGTTCCGTTTCAGATCGAGGGTATCGCGCGCCTCCATGAAGACGTCGGCCTCGTCGAGGAGAATGATCGCGCCCCATCGGGGGATCATGGTGAGGACGTCGCGGAGGGTGTTCTCCACGCGCTCGGGCGTGGTGCCCAGATCGCCCGCGCTCAGGACATACAGCGGCACCTGCATCACCTCGGCGACGCTCTCGGCCGTGAGGGTCTTGCCGACGCCCGGCGGCCCGCTCAGGAGCATGATCACCCCGCGCCCCTTGCCGTGGATCACGTCGTCGAAGGCGTCGCGGCTGCGGGCCTGGGCGCGCGCAAAGCCCAGCACGAGGTTCTTCAGGTCGCGCTGCTCGTGGGGCAGGACCAGGGCGTCGAAGGCGTGCGCGTCCCAGACGATGTCCTTGACCCCGTCGACGAAGAACGCCAGCCACCGTTTCTCTTGGAGGGCATAGCCCCGGACGATGGGCGTGGCGATCAGTCGTTGGTCATCGGACAGGTTGGTGGTGGTGGTGCTGCCGCCGGCGGCGGCGGCGGCGATGCGGTCTAACCCGGTGATCTCTTCTTGTGCGTTGAAGTTGTTGTACGCTTCCGTGTCGATCACGATTCGCCCTTGGATGTTGAACTTCATCTGGCGGTTGAGGACGGGGATGTAGCCCTTCGCTAGGCCTTTGTATTGCTTGTAGTGATATCCCCGGTACCCTTCCCAGAGCTTGCCCCGGGCAATGAGCTCTTCGCGAATGCGGGCGTGCTCGCTGTGGTAGGCAAGGGGGAAGCTCGAGAGGTCTATAATCGGGGCGGTGCCTTCGTAGGGGCTGAGCGTGAATTCTTCCGTCTCGTACCCAAAGCCCTCGCCATCCCAGTCGACGTACTGGGCTGCGATCTCGAACGCGCCGCTTCGCTTATCGTAGCTGCCGGATTGGAACCGGAAGGCGCGCTGGCGCCCGTCGACTATCCTGATGATCGGAGCGCCGGGCTCGAAGATCGCCCACAGCAGGTCGTGGGTGATCACCTGGTTCTTGACGAGGTCGTTCTTGCGCGCAATGGTCTCGCGAAGCTCCTCCTCGAGGATCCGGAACAGAAGCTCCACGTGGGCTTGGGTGGTGGGATCATCTTCGCGGGCCCGCGCCTGGCAGAACTCCTCCCATCGGTGGACGAACGGCTGGAACGGCTGGTGGAACTCGAGGCGGTCGAGGCTGGACGTGATCCCGGGGTAGCCCGTCAGGAGGCGGGCCAGAAACCCCTTGAGGGGCTGGCTTTGGACGACCACGGAGTGGATCTTGAGGTTCCGCTTCCCGTCGTAGCATTTGACCTTCCGGACCAGCAGCACAAATCTGCCGGACAGGGACGTTTCCCCCGGATCGAGGAGGTCCGTGGGCGGCTCGCGGGTCCAGGAGGTGCGGCCCCTCTCGTCCGGAGCGGTTTGGTACAGCACGTGGGCCTCGCAGATGGAGCCAGGTTCCGCTGCTTCTTCGGTGGTTTCGAGCTTATCCATATCACCTAAGGAAGAAATATAATGCTTCAGCGGGCTTTGCAAGTTTCATGCTCAGGGGGCTCCACGGATACTCATACCAGAGGGAAGAGGAGCCATTCTGGGCTGTGTTAGCGAAACGGGCGAGGCGTATGTCGGATAACGGGAATGGAGAAGTGAGCTGAGATTGAGATGGTGAGGTTGGCGGTTTATATGACCTTCATCAAACCCTGGATTGTATGACTGACTGATGACTGGCGCCAACGGCGGTATGAGCCAGGAATCTGCGCGGTTTGTCCGAGTAATTAGCCAATCCAGGCTCCCATTTCCATAACCTAGGTAGCCATCTAGGTAAGTTAGGCACCAGCAGGAGGCAGACCTTGGAAGCCTAGAATGGGGGGACAGTGGCGTCTACTAGGTACTAGGTAGACAGACTTCAGTGATCCAAGCGCCCAATAGAAGATAGAAGAAGCACTACTTACTGAGGTGTTCAGTGATGAAGGTGTGATGAATGCAGCTAGGTGAGGCTATCTGAGAGGAAGACCAAAAGGACTAAGCTAGGTGGGTATACTAGGGAGTAACTGGGCGGTGAGTAGCCTGGCTACTCTGCCACTGAGGGAAGGCTGAGAGGCAGATGAGAGGCAGATGTTTGCTTAGTGCGCGAGGCTACCTACAGCTACCTACCATCATAACACCAGTGAGTCATCGATGAGATGAGATGAGCAATTGAGCCTCGCAGGGTCTCGGTCTCGTCCCACGCCTGGATCGGTCTCGATATGTCCATGTCCACGGTTGTTGTTTGCGCTGGGCGCCACGCGTATCTCATATCCTTCATGCAAGAAAGTACTGCACCCAATTTCCATTCCTATTGCTATGATTATGATGCACAAAGTCATACCCTATCCTCAAGCAACGACTACCACAACCAAGCCCAGCATCTAAGCACCCGCCTGCAGCAAACCCTGAGCAATCAACTCAGCCAACAGGTTAACTGTCGTATTCCTCTGCAACAGAACAACGAAGGGGACGTCGACCTCGAAGGTCCGGAAGACAAACGTCCGAAACTCGGCCGCCAGCATCGAGTCCAACCCAAAGTCGCCCAGGGGGCGATCTGGATCCAATTCCGTCTCCGGGAGGAGGATGAGGTTGGAGATCTTCTTCGACACCACCGCGCGCAGGACAGGGAGCATCGACTTGGGGTCCTGGTGGTCGCGGAGCAGCACTGCGCGCGCGATGTCCGCGGGGAGATGCTGCGCCGCAACGGTGCTGTGCTGTGTCTCGCCCGCGGCGCGGCGACGGGCGAAGGATGCCGTGAACAGTGCCGCTCGTGGATCGGCGAAGACGTGGTTGTCGCCCTCGAAGCCTCGGTCGCGCTGCTCGTGCAGACCGATGAACTCGACTCCAGTGAGGAGGTGGCTGCCTGCCAGATGGTCGTAGCGGGAGTCCCACGTTGGGGGCCTTTGATTCACGAGTGCCAGGTTCATGATCTGGAGGAGCTCGTCTTCGTTGATGGGGTGGATGCCCTTGCGCTTCATCAGGGCCTCAATGTCCGGGTGTTCGTGCAGGTACCCGACTTCCGAGATCATGCCGTAGCCGATCGAGATGGCCGGTAGTCCGAGGTGGTTGCGGTACCGCGCGAACGCGTCTAGGAAGGCGTTGGCCGCGCAGTAGTTGCTTTCGGTCGCCGTGCCCACGGTGCCGGAGATGGAGGAGGTCATGACGAAAAAGTCTAGCTGGGAGTAGCTTCGCGACAACGCATGGTGAAGATTCCATGTGCCCTGCACTTTGGGCCCCAGGGTCGTGTGCCATGCACGGTGGGACATTTCACTCCAGAGAGCCTCGCTGAGCGCCATGGCGGCCTGGATGACGCCTCCGATGGGACAGTCTGCCGCGGCTGCGACGGCGCGTTCGACATCCTCGTACCGGCACACATCGCCCCGGATCACGGTGACGTGGGCTCCTTGGGCCCGGAGATCGTCGACCATGTTCTGTGCCTCGGGCTTGTCGGTACCGGATCGACTCATGAAGATGAAGCGGCGCGCCCCGCACGATATCATCCACTTGGACAGACTGCGACCGAGCCCGCCCAGGCACCCGATCATGAGGTAGCACTTGTGGGCACTGAAGGCTGTCTCATACTTGGACGGGATCACCTTGATCTCAGTGCTCGGGTCCTGGAACGACACGGTTACCTTGCCCAGTCGCGTGCCCAGCGAGAAGTGCCTGAACGCATCGGTGATATCCGACGCATCAAAGGTCTTGATCGGGAAACAAGGTTCGCAGATCTTGGAACGCACCAGATCCAGACTCTCCGTCAGGAGGGCTTTCCAGAGTTGATGATGGGCGGACTTGGTGGAGAGATAGAGGTTGGACAGGTCGAAGGCCATGAAGGAGACGTTGCGGCCGAATGTGGACATGTCCAGGACCCCATGGTCGAGGATGTCACGTTTCCCAATTTCGACGAAGCGGCCAAAGTCAGCACAGGCTTCGAAGCTGCTGCGCAGGAGATCCCCGGTGAGCGAGTTCAAGACCACGTCAACTCCCTGACCAGACGTCGCTTCCATGATGGCAGGCAGGAAGGAGGAATTGCGCGAGCTGAAAATATGTGCGGGATCCAGACCGTACTTCTCAACCAGGAATGACTTCTTGGACTCATTCCCGACAGTGGCGAAAATCTATCTAGTGACTCAGTATGAATGACCCAAATAAATGACTACTGACTCTCCAGCGACCTTACCTTGGCTCCGAGGTGTTTCGCATATTGGATAGCCGCAAGTCCAACTCCTCCGGCAGCGGAATGAATGAGAACAGTCTTGCACCGAGTAAGCCCCAGATTATGCGAGATAAGCAAAATCGACAGCACTTACCTCTCCCGGCTGCAAATGCGCCCGGTACTTCAATCCATAAATGACAGTTGAGAAAACAATCGGAATCGTGGAGGTCGTCTGCACATGATGCGTGAGCCTTCTGCGTGCGTAAATAAGGGACAAGAAACACCTCACGTACCGTGAAATCCTCCTCCTTGCGCAACTTCGACACGGCCCAATGTGGGAAGCGCTCGACGGTTGCAAAATGGCCAGGGGCCATTGCAACGACACGATCCCCGGTCTTGAACTCGAAAACATTGCCGCCTACCGCGGTAACAACACCGGCACATTCGCACGAACACGATGCATCTTTGGTGTCGACCTTGGCGCTGATAGCATACAGATCCTATGTTTCTCGTTACCGATCTCTCTTTTGATATTGTCTTAACCAGCGCGGTGCCTACCTTAGCGTTCATACCGACGCTTTTCACGCTAATTTCCACATAGTCCGGATGCAAGGCCGTTGGGTGATGCTCCTCCTGCACAAAGTGAATCGTGTCCATCTGCCCCGGGTCCTTGATACCCAATTTGCAGCCTCGAGCGGTTGATAGAGGGAGGTCAACGGTGTCCCTGTTCTGTTTGAGACGGAAGGTCTCGTTGAGGCGCTCGTCTGCCTCCCAGCGAGAGATATGGAGGACGCCGTCCCGTTGCGCGAATTCGAAGTCCGGTTCCGGGTCGTGGATCAGTCGGTCCAACACATGAACAACATTCCGTAGAGTGTCAGCAGCAGCAGCAGATGATGATGAGGTCGATGATGTCTCGCCGCCCACGTCGAGAACCGCGAATTGGAGTGAAGGTTGCTCGAGCATGAGCGCACGGGAAAGTCCCAGAACGGGCGCGAAATCGGGCCTTTCTCCCCCAATGAAACCGCCATTGACAATCCATACAATCTTCGCCACGCGATCGGTTATGCTCTGGAGCTGTGCCAGTTCATGCTCGTTGATCGTGGTCAGCAGAGGCTGCTGCTGCTCTAGAGTGGATACGACGAATGAACGGTCCGGAACGGTCGCGGGGCTGACCTGGGACAAGCCAATGATGTTGACGACAGTTCCGAAATGTCCTTGTAGGGTCTTTTGAAGCTGTAGATCCAGGGGCGTAATATTGTCATCTCGGGTCACCTGTACCTTGGTTAGAAATCAGACGTGCTTGGAGGTAGTCAAATAAGATAGGAACTTACCACGATTGTCGGGGGTTTATCTGCCTTTGCCTTCCTAGCAAGGCTGCCGAAAGTCGCAACTGTGACAAGGGAGGAAGTTGTTCCTTTAATGATATCCGTCCAAGTGATAGCGTCACTGGGTGGTACATCCCCTACCGCGATGACAGTTGCTCCTGGTGTAAGTCTGCTAGAAAGAGCCGGCGTCCAACAATCAACCTACCACATATCAGTCTCCAGTCCAACTCGCGAAGCAGTAGTAAACATACCGAGGGGACAAGGACTATATCAAACTTCTTGTCTTTGGGGATCCCCGCTGGACACTCTGAGTTCTGCTCGTCTGCGGTCACTGAAAAAACCTCCTCGCCTACCAGATCGCCGTCCGCAAGGACGCCACGATAGTAGGTGTTATACCTCCTGAAAGAGGAGTCAACTCGTAGAAGCCCATGAACAGCTTCTGCTATTTGGCTTTCGTCGCCGAGTTCGAGGATGTTGCTGTTACAGCGCTGGTGACAGGCCAAATCCAAGGCACAGGCCAGGCGCAGCACGCTCTCATCAGGCAATCCCCTAGACCTGTAGCTCTGTACGAATCGGTTCAGGTACTCGTCAAGGCCCCGGTTGGTTAGCGCCGAGAGCGCGGGCTTCCATGCCGCTCGCACGAGTGGATTGCGTTGCTCAGGGGCTTCCGTGTGTTTGTTCCCTTGGTAGGCGATACAACGAGCTTGACTCATTCTGACCAAGACCTGGCCAGACGAGTTGAACAGCTCCGCATCGATCTTCACCGTTCCAAATCCTACACTCTCTGACTTGGTGTCAATGCACCACGGTTTGTCGGTATCCATGTTGAGGGTCGACGGAGCTGCTATGTAGACCGAGTCCATCGCGACCGGGACCGTCGCTCGGAGCTTGCTCACCCAGCCAGCAGTGGTTGCAACGAAAGCCGTCTGCAGCATCGCATCAATGGAAATTGGATGGGCGATGTATTGACCGAGCGGGGTACCACGCTGAAGATGTGTGGTGGCCGCTGCTACGTGCGCCGCGCGCGCACGGTCTCTGAAGACCTCCTCCATGACCGCGAACTGGGGACCCCAGTTGAGCCCTTCTCGAGTAAACTTGTCATACCAGACACGGACCGCATCTTGCTGCATGTTTGACCTGTCGAGCTGGATGTTTCGAGTAATCCGTGGCGAGGCTTTTTCCGCTAGGCGAACGGCCGCGTTCATGTGCAAGGTCGCCTGGGAATCACTGTCAATCGAGAGCACACGGAATCTCCACCATTTGTCAGAACTTGCGAGGCTGGAAATGCTCATTGACTGCATCTCGGTGAAGATCTCCACCGTAGACTTTCTCTCCGGGTCCATATCGAGAGCCTTGATGAAGTTCAGATCACGAAGCTCTACACCCGGACAATCTTCCAGCTGCAGACCTGCAACCTGGCACATCGCCTCCACGGCCATTGCAATATATGCCGCGGCAGGGAAGACCACTGACGGGCCCAGACAGTGATGCGTGAGCCATTCGGTCTCATTCAGGTTCAATATATTTCGCCACGTCACCCCTGCGGTGCTCCCCCCCACCACTTGGGATCCGAG